GTAAGTACTACACGATTTATGACCATCTCCGAGCATGGGGATTCTGCTGTGTCTGATGGAGTAGCTTAGCAAAATAAAGACAGATGGCAGGGTAGTAAATAATTACTTGATTGGAAGACAACCACTGCAGGATTGCTTCCTGCCTTCAATTCAACGAGACTTCATCTGGGGTAAGTCACGTTGATTCATGTGAGCATTTACAGCTTTGAATTGATTGACCAGGGAAAGAATCATAATTTAATAATTAATAAAGAGAAAGGATGCTGTGAAATGGGAGGCAATGCGATTCCTCAGTGGGTTTCCCTGTTCCCTTTTCTGCTGTCAGATAATTGACTGTTCTCCATCCTTGAGATTCAAAGTGAATTGTAATGTGTAGACTCCTACCTATTTCTGAAAACATCTTTATATATATATATATGTATATATATATATATATATATATATATATATATATATATATATATATATATATACATATAAAGACTGGGGATAGAACATTTGAGGCAATCTTGACAACTAAATTGAATTTCAAACTATAGTCACTCCCGTTGGTTATCATACAATCAATTTATAAAGGACTTGAAAACAGGTAACTACTGTTCAAGTGGTTTTGGCATTTGCATGAAGACATGGAACAAGGTCACTCTTTGTTCTCTCCATGAGAACTGTTTGGGACTATATCTGAGGAATTGGTTACAAATCCACTCAAGTGAGAGAACAGAAAGGTCTAAGCTTTTTCTTCCATCATTAGAACCTCAGAAACTCTCTTAATCTTGGAATGAGAGAAAGTCAGGCTCTTATTCTCTCTCTCTCTCTCTCAGTCTCTCTCTCTCTCTCTTTCTCTCTCTCTCTTGCATTGTGGTTTTGTAAATTGTGATAGACTATAGAATTATCTATTATGGAAGATTCAAATTCCCATCTGATGCCCAGGTGGTGGGTCTTTCCAGGGAAAAGACTCATTCTCTTGACTCTCCTTCTTGTGATCAGTCCTGCCTGTCCTACCCTCTGTGACATTCCAGCCTGGTTTGGGCCAACAGCCCCTATTATGTCCTCTTTCTGTAACTCTGTATATGGCATTAACCCGACTCCTTTTCAACATTGTCTTTTGTATCCCCCCTCCACATGATTTTACACATGCTCATCTGTGACCACAATTCACTTGTTTTCCCTCCATTATAGAGATACTTTCAACTGTATTGAACTGTGTTGAATAGCATTGACTTGTTCTTTTATCCCAACAAACTATTCTTGAGTGTTTACTGTGATGGTAGGCACGAGGAGGGAGGTTTGGGCACAGCTGAGAATGTGAGAGGCAGTATGTGAAGACTTTGAAATCAGTCAGACTTGGGTTTAAATCCCAGCTTGACACTTTCTGGCTGTGTATAACCTTAGTCAAATGACTCATCTTCTCTGTGTCCCACTTTTCACATTTTCCGATGGAAATAATTATAGCCCCTAGCTCACAGATGTATTGTTTTGGATTAAAGGATATTATGGCTGCAGAGTGCTTGGCATTGTACCTGGCACAAAATAAACTCTCAATAAATGGAGGTGATGAAGTATGAAATAAGCTACCCTCCAGGAATTTGCAGTCTAGAGGGCATAAAAAAACATGTGTCTTAAAACTAGTCTAGGTCACGCAGTTATGTCTACTGGAATAAAGTTTGAAGCAGAGTATCATGGACATATAGAGCATTATAAAAATTTCTTTAATTGAGAGATTTAGGGATGGCTTCTTCAAAAAAATGCAGACTGTGGATTTCTTCAACAGGCAGCTATTGGCAGTCAGGGCCTATTGCTGAGGAAGGATGGGAACAAGGGAGCTAGAATTGGAAGCAGGAGGCTTGCATCACCAGTGTGCAACCTTGAACTGTCTGAGCCCAAGTTTCCTTCCCAGTAAAATGGGGAGAATGCCACTAGTTCTGCCTGCATCCCTGTACTCATGTTGGGATCAAATAAGACTATGAGGAAAGGGCTTTGTGAATCCTGAACATCACAGATGCAGTCATGAGGGCATGAGCAATTTTTATTTTTGTGCTCGTGGAAATCCGTTTATATCTCTCCATTCATACTCCCTTGGCTCACCCCCCTTTGTGGCCAATGGCACACTTCCACAAGTCAGCTGGCGAGTACTCTTGTTGAAAGAAATGTTTTCACAAAGTCCACTCTTGACTCGCATGTGAACAGAAGCAAGCTGTACACCAGATAGATGATTCAGAACAGATAATCAAACCGTCACTTCTCCTTAGCACTGAAATTAGAAAAGGATGGATTGCACAGGAGGAGCCCTTAGATCACCTACAAAGGGAATAATTAAGAATTAACTCTAATAAGAATTTGCAAAGTCACTGTGCAAGTGAGCAGACCACCGTGTGGATCTGAAAATCCAAGAGGGCCAAGCAAGCAGATTTTAGCCCTTAGAACAGACTCTCTCCGTCGGTCTCTGTCTGTTGTCTTTGAGGGGACCGCGGAATCTGACGCATTCAAGCAAAGTCTGGTTTTGTCTCTGGGGCCTGGGATTTTGCAGTTTGCTCTGTCCAGGATGGGCTGTGTACATACCTTTGAGCAAATAGTTGGAGTAGCTCCCAGTTCATTCAGCCAGCTGACTCTGTTACAAAGGAGGATTTATCTTTTTTCCTCCTTTGTCCAAACTAGAGGACAAAGAATGTGGCAACTTGTGTCTAATCACAGGGTGTGCTGGAGTCTGCCAAAAAAGTACAGCAAAAGAAACCCTTCCCCAGCATGGCCCTGGCAGTTGCCCCCGAAGACGCACACAAATATGCGCCTTCCGGACGACTGCAAAGGGTGGATGACCCCTCAACTGGCCCCTACAGCACCCCAAACAGTAGATGAAAGCAAGGGGCATGATACTTTGGGGCTGCTCTGGGGCAGCCTACACCTGCATCTTTAGGATCCTCCCTTTATATGGTACATTTGAGGGACCATAGCATAGGGCAGTTAATCTGACATTACACCACGTGCTTGAGAGTGTCCAGGTTCATCTGACGATGAAGAGTAGGAGGTTAAAGGGACAAGTCTGAAATAATAGTAATGAGCAAACAGAAAGAGGTCGTCATAGAGGGAAATATGCAGGATCTGGAGTCAAGCAGACCTCTTTGGATTTGAACCCTGTTATTTTCGGGGTGACATCAGACAAATCACTTAACCTTTCTGAGCCTCAGTCTCTTCATCTTCAAAATGAGGGTAACAATAGCAACTATCTCAGAAGCATTTGGGAAGGAATAATATGCAGCACAATCCCTGGCACCCAAAGAGTGCGCAATAAATGGTAACTGCTAAAATAACTCCCAGGCTTCTTAAAATACTCAATTTGCTTTGCATGACTAAGCCCATTTCCAGAAGTTGCATAAATACACTGCCTATAGAACACACTCATTGCTTTGGTCTTTAAGGAGCAACAAAGTACCATGCAGAAACTGTTGTTTGTTCTTTTTGCAAAGCTGGGAGAGTGGGAAAGGGGAAGGGTTACAATTTTCCATTTCACAGATAGGAAATCAGAGGCATAGGAAAAGTCAATGACTTGCTTAATGTCACATAAAGCCAGCAGCATAGCTGTAATGGGTCATGACCTCCAGTGCAATGCAGCTTGTGTTCACCTTTCAAAAGTCAGGGGTAAGCAACTCCTGTCTGAGCTTTAATACCATCAGTCTAATTTCTCAGATTTTCTATAGCTGCTGATCTTGAGAACCTTTGAGGCTTTGGGGAAATCACATGGGTGATTTGACCTTAAATCTCATGCCACTGGCAAAAGATTAATTGCTAAGACCTGGAAAGAGGCCAGACAATTCTGTGTAGCTGAATAACAGCACCGTCTAGGGATGTGACTGTCCTGACAGATTTAGTTAGTACATAATTGATAAATCTAGAGTTTGTATAGCTTCGCTTCCCAGATAGATAAGGCAACGGGCTCCAAGGGTTGACATTTACAGAAGCCCTACCAGTGTTTTGTAACACTGAATCTAGGTTTTCCACTCTGTTCCTCGGAACATTGCTCATTTTCTAAGGCTCTGTTCTCAGCAAGCAAGAAGATGAGGGGATCTGACAAGAGGCCACCTTGCCCACTGTAAGCAAGAATGCCCATCATTCGTTAAGCACTGTCCCATGACTGCTTTTAAAGTCTTATTTACCCTGACCCAATGTAGGTTGAGGTCAGAAAGGGATGCAGGGCATTACGTAGGAGCTAGGAATTTTTCGTCACATTCAGAATCCAAAAAAGATAAAAGGCAGTCAGATGCAACATCAAAGCTTGGAAACTGGGTCTAAGCCCTGGACAGGAGGCTGCACAGCTTGACTCTTGTTCCAGACTCGAGTGTTGTGAGACCCTTCTTAGCAATTTGAACTCGGACAAGCACACAGAAACCTCAGCTTTTCTTTCTTTCCCTTTGGTCACTCATTCCAGAAAGTATTTTGCCTATCAGAAAGAATTGTTAGTGGATATTTTTCACTGTAATTTCTATTCGGAGCTTATTTAAGCCTTTATAAAGTTTGGTTACCTTTCCTTACTTCTTGCTGTCTAGTTTTACGTTGCAGTTCAGGAGGCATTGTTGGGTGCCTGATATATACCAGTATACTTTGGTAATTTTGTCACCTCTACTTGTAAAATATCTGACACAGTAGTTTAGGTCAGTAAATCAGTGGCATACAGTGTACATCCAGTGGCATCCATATGTACAATGGATCTGGCATTTTGGTTTTTGCCAGAAGTGAATAAAGATGTCATTAAATAGCCTCCCTGGACTTCACAAATAAAAAGCCCAGTGATTTCATGTATTATAACAACACATAGAGATATTTTCCCAAGCTAGTTATTACTTTCTGAATATACTTTACTGATATGCATTACCTTTTAATAATCATATGGAAAAATCACATGATGTTAATTTTATTGCATATCCACCACGTTTATATTAAAATAGTCTATGAGATGGCTCCTAGAAACTTTGTCACTGAGTTAAGTGAGTTTTGTCTTCTTTCACTAGATGAATTAGAGAAATTGGAACAGGAGCGGCTGGCTTTGGAAGCCACTATCAAAGATAACGAATGTGAAGAAGGCAGTGGAGGCATCCGAGGCTTGTTTAAAAAAGCCAGCCAATTGAACATCACTAAGCCAACGCCTAAGAAAGGTAAGTGCTTTCCAAATTTGCAAGAAAGATTATGAAATGAGCCACTGCTTGAGTATCTATAGGGGTCAGAAGTCAGCATCTAAGATGTTGAGGGCATTGAGTGTAGCTCAGGACTGAAAGACATTTCTTTCAAGACGATAGCACAGATAAAATGTAGACATTGTTGTCATTTATCAATAACATTAAGCCCTTTGTACCATCTAAGTGTAAAAACTTAATTTTAAAATAATAATATTTGGTTTGGGAGTCCTGAAGTGCTTAAGCAGATTGGAGTGCCATAAAATAGACATTTCTTAGTTAAAATGGAAAGGGGATAGAAATTTAAGAACGAATACCCAAATGGGTTTATCTGTACACATGCGCGCGCGCGCACACACACACACACACACACACACACACACACCTTGCAGACATTTAAGGAGACTTAAATTAACTAGTACAGGTAAATCAGGGATCCAGCTAGAACCCTAGTTTCAAAAAGCAGCTATCTTTATCACAAACCTGAATTCTGGACTGGGAACTTTCTTAATACCAATTACCTGTAGATTTCAGCGGAGAGGTAAAGGTACACTCAACCTCTGAATGTCCAATATACACCCCAGTAACGAAAGACCACAGAATGAGAGCTTTTTGTAAAATTTATAAATAGGTGATTCAAATATATAACTTTTTTGTAAATAAGAAATTGCTTTCTTTCCAGAAAAACCATGGGTTTAAGTTTAATGAGGTCCACAGCGACCTCTGCTGGTAGAAAATTATAATGTTAACGTACACAAATAATCCTATACTTAACTGAAGTCACTTGGTATGAGGCCCAGAAAAGATTATTTCTCTGGGAGGTTTTTTACATCAAATAGCAAGATCCATATTGCACCTTAGCAGGCTGATAGGCTAGTTTGACCTCTTTCAAAGAGGTTCTTCAATGAGGCCTTCTAATACCCTGGAAAAAGTTTGGACCTGTTTGCTTGTTTTCCTACTATAGTCCAAGGATGAAATTTTACCTGTAATACAATATTTTTATATATTTACAACATATTTATAACATAAAATATAAACATTGCCCCCTTCAAATACTGGAAGTACCCTCGGGTTTCTGGAATATTCCATGGGCTATGGGAAAGCTTATTATATATTATGTACCTTAACATGACATTGTCTAGGAAAATGATGTGTTTGAATCTAAAGCTGGAGGTACATCAGGACTTTCAGAATGTAAATATTAGAATAAGACCATCTAGATTCTAACTATCTTCTTTCCTTTTCAATTATTTGGTTTATTCATGAGACATGTTAACTATTCATTGAATCTGCTCTACCATTCAGTCTTTCAATGTTAGTTACCGTCTCGAAAAGCAATGGAAAATTCAGAAGTCATAGCCCAATACTATTCTTTAGCTGATGGCAGAGGAGGGAAGCATCAATGTTCTTATTAATGAGAAGGGACTTATTATTTATTTTGGAAGCCTGTTTCTGCATCACAAATCTTTTGGCAAAGAGGTACTCTTCTGAAAGTCAACATGTCTCATTGCTCCGAAAAGCAAAATGATGTTATGTTTTATTTTCAACACCTAAAATTTCAAACGCAGCTCTAAAGTAGGCCCCTTCACTGCTCTGGGCCTTCGCTGGTTGACAACTCTTTTGAGTTCTAGATCAGGACAAACCCTACCTCCAGACACTAATGCGTGAGTCCCCTGGATGCTTTGATTTGCATGTAAGTGGGAGCAGAGTTTGGTCCATTTTGTAAAGATATTTACTTTCTCCCTCAGAAGTCCTAGGGAGATAGAAGCAATGTAAGATAATTGCTTCAGGACTGACAGGCCCAAAACATGGATGCCGCAAAAGACAGAACAAAGCATCTTCAGAACCTCTCAGATCAGAGAGGAAGCTCGGAAGCAGCTGTCAGCCCTACTCTAAGCACTTGGCTGACATCATCTCTTTGAAATAGAGCAATAAAGTCACAACTTTAAAAGACATGGAAATGAGAAATAATATATACAGTGTAGCAACAAAAACCTCTACTGGCAAATAGGAGTGAGGGTCCTGCTCAAACTGGCCTCATTCCCTAGCAGACTTTCAATGTATCCTTGATAGGGTGGAAAAAGCATCAAAAAAAAAATGTTTAAGTACTTTATGTGCACCCTTATCTATAACTCCAGTAAAGGAATTTTGTCTTTCCGTATTGGCTTTTTCATCTCTTTCATAGAGCTCCATGGCTTTTCCTTGGCTTCAGGAGTCTCCTTGAAAACAGAGAGCAAGCCAGGCTGACATTAGGTCCAAAGGGTCATAGAGTCAAGATGCATTTGGTCCCTAGCCACTTTCATAATGCAGACATTCATGGAATTTATACCAGTTGTACTCATTGAATGCTCTAATGAAGAAATAGTTCTGATTCTATTGCTTATCTCTAGAAAACCAATCACCACATGTTCTAGTTTCAAGTAAATTTGAAATATGATTGAGTTATATCTGAAATTTTGTAAAATGGGGGTTTTTTGGCTATTGTGTCAGATAACTTAGCATCGTTACCTGTCTAAATAATACATTCCACCCTGGAGATTACTAAGAACTTGAAAATAATCTACTGTTTTATAATGAAAACTGTAATCATAAAACCAATATCATATTTTGTTGGACTATTGAAGGTAACCTAAATTACTGTGGGACTTGACCTTTATCTCCCCTTCTCATAGCTCACTGTTTACCTGTAGCTATAAAAACACTTAAAATTCATGACCCTTCCTCTCTTTTCCTGAATGGATTTATTGGCAAGTTATTTTGTTTCTTTCTTCAAAAGACCAATAGGTATACCACTTTTCTTTCATTACAGACAGCAGCATGAGCACAATCCAGTCAATGCACGTGGGGGAGTTCAACCAGAAACTAGTGGAAGCCAGCACCCAATTTAAAAAGAAACAGGGAAAAGGCACAATTGATGTGTGGTGGTTGTTTGATGACGGAGGTAAAAACAATTCCAGAATGTACACTAGGGAGCAAAATTACTGTGTTGATAAATTTAACAAACTGCATGGGAAGGTATATGAAAATGATATCAGTTTAAGAATAATATTTCTGTGTTTCCCAGAGATTTTAAATTATTTAGGAGCAACAAATGGGGGAATGAATAAAGATATAAGGCTATTCATTCTCTTTCAGTGAGATATGCTTATACTTTCTGTCATAATTTACTCTTTCTTCAGGGTTAACACTCCTTATCCCCTATATCTTGACTCTCAGAAAAAAATGGAAAGACTGTAAATTAAGGATCTATGTTGGAGGGAAGATCAACCGCATTGAAGAAGAAAAAATTGCGTGAGTAACTCATCACTCATTTGTTAGAACACTTGGGATGTTTTTTGTTTCAATCCTTTAATTTTAAGAACTTTAAGTGTTTTTGAGGCACAACAGATTTAAAGATAAAGCCACCGCGATAAGCCTCGTGTCTACTTGGTTTTCCGGTCAATAAATTGCATACATTTTGTAATCACTGTCTTCATGTCCCTTGATCCCCTGCCACAAATGCTTTTAAAAGGAATTTGACACAGAAGTCTCATCTCAATTCTTTATTGAGAGCATCATTATCTTGTATAATGTTTGTTTTGGTTTGACTAGAAAATGTATCCAAGAAACGAAAAGCCCGAAGGGATTTGTGTTCAATAGCTTCCTTGGGGTGGGGGTGGGGGGTCGAACCTTTTGATTTGTGGTGGTCACTGTAGCACAGTACACTTAAAATAGAACTAAAGGACTGAACCCGATCCTTGTCCCAGCTCTGTCACCAACGAGCTGCAAGGCTTTGTCACGGTCACCGTACATATCTCGGTCCCCAGTTTCTCATCTGTAGTTTGAAAGAGTTTAAATGAATAACTGTTGAAAACTCCTTTAATTAAAAAAATAAATAAGTGCCCACCGTGGAAATTCGCAGCTTTGTCATTAATTTAGTCACAGAGGTCTGACATGTGGCTGTGGAGGCAGCAAGGATATTGAGAATGTGGTGCATCCAAAGGTCTCTGGTGGAAATCTGAAGAGCGACCTCGAGTGGCCCTTGCTCCCTTATGGTAGGACTACATCCTGAGGCCTTCCAGAAATCACAAAATAATGACAGGCTTTTATTCAGTAATTTTTCATGTTTTCTCCTCTGTCCTGGAAGGATATTATATAGATACAGAGATAGAGATAGAGATAGAGATAGAGATAGAGATAGAGATAGGGAGATAGAGATAGAGAGATAGAGATAGAGATACAGACATAGACATAGACAGACATAGATATATAGATTTAATTCCTCTTAAAGAGAGTCATATTTAAATGGAAAGTAACATGATAGCTATAATAATTTCTATATAATAATTTCTATTTCTTAAAGCCTTTAGTAACTTATTGGGACAAGTGATGAAATTTAAAATTGGTCAGTAGATTAGATGATAGTATGGCATCAGTGCTAAATGCCCTGCTTTCAAAAATTATACTCGGTTTGTATAAGAGAATGTTCTTATTCTTAGGAAATACCCACCCAAGTGTTTAGAGGGAAAGGGACCTGATGGCTGCAGCTTACTTTAAATGGCAGATGGGCAGGTGGACAGAGGGATAGAAGGCAAGAAAGAAAGAAGGAAAAGAAGGTTGTAGATAGAGGTAGCTATATATAAGGAAGAAAAAGTGTTCAGTGAAATAGAGCAAGATATAAACAGCTGGTGGATCTGAGATTTTTTTTGTGCTGTCCTTGCAATTTTTCTATAACTTTGAAATTATATAAAAAATTCCAGTTGCCAGGGAAAGAACCTCTAATATATATGACATAATTATTAGTTTTTCAGTACATTGTCAGTAACTCTATAAAAATTATCAGCAAGGTAATAGCCAGTAATGTTAAACCTTGTCCTCTTTTTTTCCCCCCAAATGATAAGGAAGCATGTACAGCTCTGTATTTTCTTACCTAGAACATGAATGCAGGGTTGGATTTTCTGTTTCCAGGGTTTGTACCTACATGAATTTCTCTGTCTTTGGTGGAATCGCTTGGTTCACATTTAATACACTGTGATGAAAATCAAACCCTGACCACAGCCTTTGTGTGAAAGTGAACCTGAAATAAGACATGACTGCTTGTGGTATCTTAAACACAAACCTCTTTGACTGAAAACAGCGAAACATGCAGTGATGGGATATTTCTCTTTTATGTTTTCAGAATGGCTTCCCTTCTGAGCAAATTTAGGATAAAATTTGCAGATATCCATATCATTGGAGACATCAACATTAAGCCAAACAAAGAGAGGTATGAAACATTTAACAAGATCCATTGTTTACCCCTGGTACTCTCTCATTTTCTTTTGTGTTGATTATTAAGGGGTAGAAATGTTATCTATTCATTGCAGTGACTGCCTAATAAGATATAATAAAAAAGGACTTCAAATAATCATGCCGAGCTATCAAATAAATTCTAACAGAAGGAAAAGGTTTTATGGTAAAGTTGAGCTTGAGAGGGAGAGCTGTTGAAACACAGGTTAGTTAGCATTTTAGAATTGCCCTTCCTGTTCTTGCTTTCCGTGGTGGCCAAAATAGCAGGAAGTACGGGCTCAGACTCTTTTGGACTGAGCAGTCGGGGGCAAGCTTTCATCATTTAAAATTCCTAGTGGGGCATCCTGCAGGGGGAGCTCTGATAGAGAAGATAGAAACAGCTTGAGTCTTCTTGGCACAATGACACAACCCACCCTCCATGGCCATTTTCACTTTTAGGCACGAGGGACCCAACACGTCAAGCTATGAAATTTGGCGAGGCGGGGGGTCCTCTAAAACTGAAGCCTCGCAAAGAAATGTGTTGGCTTCAAAATTTTAAAATGACAAAATTGAAGTAATTGTTTAAATGTCTTCAGATCGTGACATCTTTTTAACCCTTGTTAATTGTTAAATGTGTCAAGTCCATATATTTGAAAACAATTTGTAGGTTAGATTCTCACAGGAATTCCCAGAGGTGTAAGAAAATTGCCTGGAAATTAAAGCTGAGACTGAGTAAAATACCTAGTGATAATTTAGCAATTATAAAACATTTTCAACTGTTTACAGTCCAGAATCATATTTACTATTACATCTGGATACAATTTAAATTTTTTTAAAGTTTATTTATTTTGAGAGAGAGAGATTGAAAGCACACGTCCATGCACGTGGGGAAGGGCAGAGAAAGAGAGGGGAGAGAGAATCCCAAGCAGGCTCAGTTCAGTGCAGTGATGTGGGGCTCAAAACCGCAAACTGCAAGAACATGACATGAGCCAAAATCAAGAGTCAGATGCTCAACTGACGGAGCCACCCAGGCGCCCCAACATCTGGATGCAATTTAGCACATTTGATTCGGTGTGGAGTGGTCCTTCAAGGTTGAGACTACAAAGGGAAACAAGGATCTCAGTATAGCTTAGGTTCTCGGTGGCCTGTTGGACCTCTTCTCATTTCTGTTGGCCATCAGTCATTTCTCCCTTCACCTGCAGTTCTTGATGGGTTGCAGTTCCACACTCCAGTCTTATTGCCCTTCCCTTCTTTTGATCCTAGATGAGTTTAATAACTAATGGAGAAACATCTAGATTTAAGATGCATTCTTATTGACTAAACAACAACATTGAACTTTGTGTTATTTGAGGGTATTCATGATTCCTCTAAGGCTATGGATCAATTAAAGTGGCTTTACAAAATACCTTTTTAAAAAAAATTATTTATTTTGAGAGAGAGAGAGAGAAAAAAAAGAGAAGTGGGGAGGGGCAGAGAGAGAAGGAGAGAGAATCCCAAGCGGGCTCTAGACTGCCAGCACAGAGCCCAACGTGGGGCTTGAACACACAATCCTCTAGATCATGACCTGAAACTGAAACCAAGAGTCTGACTCTTAACTGACTGAGCCACCCAGGCGCCCCCAAAATGTTTTAATTGTGATAAGAAAGCTATAATCAACAGATTACATTTTGGTTATTACCATGGAATATGTCTTCATATCATATATACCACCAATGCCTGTATTCCTCTATTTCTGCAGCTTTAAATACTTAAGAAAAATTAAGAACAAAGTTTATAATTCTCCTTGGTAAATGTAATTGACTTTCTGATATGAATTGGGTTGTCATGTAGTAATCTCTGGTAACCTCCCACACTTCATTTGAAGAATTTTAATTCCTAAGTCATCACCTCTTGGCATTTGCAGTGATGTGATCAAACAGGCTCATCTTGTGTCTCTAATTGGTGGAAATGCATTCTATTTCATAACACAGCAGGTACAATGATTTCCTAGCATGTGCTACTTTGCAACAGGCCAGAGCCTGCCAGAGCTCTGCAAGCATAGAGCCATTTACTGTTGTCTGGAGGGTAGTCACGGTGTACCCTACTGCCTTTGGATTTTCCAGAGGCCCTGGCTCAATGCTGGGCACAAATTAGTCATCTACTTCTTGCAGCCAAATTCCTCTTGCTGTTGTTTGTCTTAGCAGTAGCTAAGGACTGTCTGTGCTTACTGATTAATTTGTTCCTGTATCCTTTGCCTCTATACCTATCAATCTGGTTTTCTCTACTCAAGTCCTTGTTTCTTTCCCTTCCATGCTCCTCTCTGCCCAGCTGCTGTGGTCACCCCCTGCATACCTGTCTTATATGTCCTATCGTGAAGAATGTCAATGTACCTCTTCCACTAATGTCTTTCCATTCTTTGAGTGCCCATCATAGTCTAGACACAATTTATTTTACTAACCCTGAACTTTGCGCCATGTTTTTTTTTTCTCTTTTTAGGCAGCAGACATTATGGAGAGTAGCAAGAAACAAAGGACCAGGCATTTTTGCTTTTGTCCTGGTATCTTAAATTTGATTTTAGACTCCATTTTAATTCGATGTTTCTAATATCCTCACCATCCTACAATGAAGAGATCTATTTCCCTTTCTCAGGAAAAAAATGAATTAGATTTCACAATTTTGGAGATCTTTTTCTCTGATATTTCAAGGTCTTGAGGAAGATGCAAAAAACAAAATCCATTTTATATTGGAGTAAAAGAATCTTTGCAGCTAATGTCACCTGGTGTGAAGACAAGACACCACCAAGAAGAGGGGTGCTGGAAGTGCCATTCTCCTCTCTTCAGTCTTCCACCATAACTGATGCCATATTGCTTTGTAAAACAGTCACGTATCTGGTGTTGGCAAATCTATTCAAATATGTAAAGGTAACCCTATTTTAAAACAGAGAATGATCATTCAGTAAATCTCACAGATGGCCACTGGTAGCACATCTGGTACTTTGTGATAATTTTTTATTAAGTTTTTAATTTTAATTCCAGTGTAGTTAATAGTGTAATATTAGTTTCAGGGATACAAAGTAGTAATTCAACCATTCTATACATTACTCAGTGCTCATCATGATAAGTGTACTCTTAGTCTCCTTCGTCGATTTCACCCATCTTCCACCCACCTCCCCTCTGATCATCATCAGGTTGTTCTTTATAGTTAAGAGTAAATTTCTTGGTTTGTCTCTCTCTCTCTCTCTTTTTCCTTTTTTTGCTTGTTTTGTTTCTTAAATTCCACATAGGAGTGGAATCATATAGTATTCATCTTTCTCTGACTGGCTTATTTCACTGAGCATTATGCTCTCTAGCTCTATCCATGTTGCTGCAGATAGCAAGATTTCATTCTTTACTATGGCTGAATAATATTCCATTGTGTCTATATACACCTCTTCTGTATCCATTTATCAGTCGATGGACACTGGGCTGCTTCCATAATTTGGCTATTGTAAATAATGCTGCAATCAGCATAGGGATGCATATGTCCTTTCAAATTAGTGTTTTTGTATTCTTTGGGTAAAATACCCAGTGGTATGATTGCTAGATAACAGTGTAGTTCTATTTTTAACTTTTTGAGGAACCTCCAAAAAAAGTCACTGTTTTCCAGAGTGACCGCACCAGTTTTCATTCCCACCAACATTTCATGGGGTTCCTTTTTCTCCACGTTCTCACCACAGTTACTTTTTCTTGTGTTTTCTATTTTAGCCATTCTTATAGGTATGAAGTAATATCTCATTGTAATTTTGGTTTGCATTTCCCTGATGATGAGTGATATTGAGAATCTTTTCATGTGTCTGTTGGACATCTGTATGTCTTCTTTGGAGACGTGTCTGTTCATGTCTTCCACCCATCAGGATTATTTACTTTTTTGGGTGTGGAGTTATGTAAGTTCTTTATATATTTTGGATACTAACAGTTTATCAGATATATCATTTACAAATATCTTCTCCCACTCATTAGGTTGCCATTTAGTGTTATTGATTGTTTCCTTCACTTTGCAGAAGGTTTTTATTTTGATGTAGTTCCAATAGTTTATTTTTGATTTTATTTCCCTTGCTCAGGAGACATACATAGAAAAATATTGCTATGGCCACTGTCACACTGCCTTGCTCTCTTCTAGGGTTTTTATGGTTTCAGGTCTCACATATACATCTCTGATCATTTTGAGTTTATTTTTGTGTATGATGTAAGAAAATGGTCTAGTTTCATTCTTTTGTATGCTGCTGTCCAGTTTTCCAAATACCATTTGTTGAAGAGAGAGTCTTTTTTCCATTGAATGCCCTTGCCTCCTTTGTTGAAGATTAATTGACCATATAATCATGGGTTTGTTCCTTGTTTTTTATCTTCTTCCATTGATCTATGTGTCTGTCTTTATGCTAGTACCATACTGTTTTGATTACTATAGTTTTATAGTATAACTTGAAGTCTAGAATTGTGATATCTCCAGATATCTTTTTTCTTTTTTTGTTTTTCTTTTTTCTTTTGTTTTCCTTTTTTCAAGATTGTTTTGGCTATGTGGAGTCTTTCATGGTTCCATACAAATTTTAGGATTATTTGTTCTAGTTCTGTGAAAATGCTGTTGGTATTTTGATAGAGATTGCATTAAATCTGGAGATTGCTCTGAGCAGTATAGACATTTTAAGAATATTTGTTCTTCTAATCTATGAGCATGCATTATCTTCCCTTTTGTTTGTGTCATCTTCAATTTCTTTCATTAATGTTTTATAGTTTTCAGAGCACAAGTCTTTCACCTCCTGGTTGAACTTATTCCTAGATATTTTATTATTTTTGGTGTAATTGTAAATGGGATATCTTTCTTAATTTCTCTTTCTGTTGTTTTATTATTAGTGTATAGAAATGCAATGGATTTCAATACATTGATTTTGTATCCTGTGATCTTACTGAATTCATTTATCAGTTCTAGTAATTTTTTAGTGGAATATTTAGGGTTTTTGATATATAGTAGTATGTCATCTGCGAATAGTGTAAGTTTACTTCTTCCTTACCAATTTGGATACCTTTTATTCCTTTTCCTTGTCTGATTGCTGTGGCTAAGACTTCTAGTACCATGTTCAATAAAAGTGGTGAGAGTGGACCTCCTTGTCTTGTTCCTGATCTTAGAGGAAAAGCTTTCAGTTTTTCACAATTGTTGATGATTAGCTGTGGGTTTTTCACTTACGGCCTTTATTATGTTGAGGCATGTTCCCTCTAAACCTATTTTGTTGAGGTGTTTGTGATAACTTTTAAAAGGCATCTCCTCTGAGTGGCTCAATTAGAGGAAGAAGACTCTTCCTCTGGGCTGATGCGGCCCTGGTTCCAGGGCCCAACGCCTAGGGCACCAGCTCAACTTCAGCTTTTCTTGACTAGACAGCCCCTATCTACCGTTAATAATCATTTCTCCATCACTGGGCTTTTTTTTTGGTCACCAGGTGACACACAATGTCGAAAATAGTTTGTCAATGATTCCCAAGTTGGAGGCTAATGTTAAATGCCTTAAGTTACCTCTAATAAATCTCTCAGCTACCCATAAAACATCAGTAAGTCTTGATGGAGATATTTGATCATAGAAACATTATAAATATGACTGGGCAAGGGTGAAAGGGAGTATAAAAGCAAAGTTAATGAGAAAATAATTGAGCCTGGAGAAACTGAAAATCTCTTGTGGTTAAATTAATTTTTTATTGAATATGCTGAATTAAAAGCCATAGGCCAAAAAGACAACAATCTTTATACAGAAATTAAAGAGAAAGTAGAAGCAATTAACTGGATAATTTAGTTTGAAGCTACTAAAATGGTCACAAAACAACTGGTATATTAATTTGAGAAAAGAAATCTTACATGAACTTAGGGAAAATTTTTTTTTGCAATTAAAAAATTTTTAAACTTTGTTATTGTGAAGAACAGGATGGGGAAGGCAGGGCAGGTATAAGTTAATTTTTAAAATTGAATTCATTGCCATTTACATTCAATAGCACGTAAATCTTGGCCTATTCTAGAGTGAATTAAAAAGAAAAGTCAGATTTAATGAGAATCAGAATAGAAATCTTGAGCCACCTTTGCATCACCTAGCTAGGAGGATGGAAAATGGCCAGTTCAGGGATGAACCTTAGGATGAAGTCAAAGACGAACATAGACAAGGAACCGTTAAGAGTTCAGACAAAGTAAATGGGCAAATACAGTCCCATTATAACCTATTGTGTCACTTAGCATGTTTCAATACCAGGAAAAGAAAACTGACAATGACTTGAATAATGAAAATTATTTGCAAACATAACTGAAAAATCCAACTATGTTTTGGCTTTCAGGCAAAGTTTGATCTAGAAGGTTAATTTTGTAATCAAGGACTAATTCTCTTCCATAATCTCTACCCCACCTTCCATTATGAAATCATCAATCAAATTGATTTAGCTCATAAAAACAGGATGACAGCCAATAGCAATCTACATACTTGCTCATTTATGTTCAGTGGGAGACAAGGTTTGTCTCTTCTTCAGTCATCGAACTCAGGTCATGGGCTCCATTCAGGTTGTACCAGCTTGAGCCACTGAGCCACTTACAGTGGTCAATGGGATGTTAGGTGCCTCTTGGTCAACCTTGCCTGGGCTATGTGTCTACCCGGGCCAAATGCTCTGGTAGAAGGAATAGAATTGTCCTGATTAGCTGATGCTGAGGATGGAGTCACTCCCATTCAAAGGGGCATAGTATGAATACCAGGGAGACAGCAAGCAACCTCTACTCTACTTCTATTTCTTAGGAAACTATTTTTGAGCTGGTCTTCCTAGTAAGTACCAGGGTTGAGATGCAAAGAAAATGTAGTCTGATCAAAATAATTACGTGGAGAGCTTAAACAGAGAGTCAGTACTAACCTCAGTCCTGTGGCTATTCAGTAAAATGAATGCCTTGGTTTTACAGGGCACTGTATACTTCTCAGAGCACTGTTACCCAGATCACATCTAACCATCACACCGATCCTCATTGCCAGCTTTGAGCAACCATCATGACCTCCTATTATAGGCAAGGTTATCCAGGTCCAGGAGGACAATGGAAGAGCAGGACTAAGAACTCAGGCTCTTCTCTCCTAGGCCAGGGTCTTTCCACTGCACAGATTACTACCAAAGGTCTCTGAAGGCATGGCACTGTTGGAAGGAATAACAAAGAGAAGTATTGTGTAGCTGAAAGAATAATAAGGCATATCAGTGTTCTCTGGTGTTGTCTATCGTTCTAAATGAGTCAAAATGTCAGAACTCTACTACATTAAGTAGCTCTTCTATCCCTAACAAAGGCACACTGGCATGTTCTCCTTTGTAATCTCTGCACTTTGATCTGCAAATCCTAAATCAGGGCAACTGATGAGATCATTGAACTCATCTCCTCATATTTTAATTCCTTAACCTAATAGCACTTAAACAAAAAAAATTTTTTTAATATTTGTTTATTTTTGAGAGAGAAAGAGAGACAGAGCATGAGCAGGGGATGGACAGAGACAGAGGGAGACACAAAATCCAAAGCAGGCTCCAGACTCTGAGCTGTCAGCACAGAGCCCGATGCAGGGCTTGAACCCACGAGCTGTGAGATTATGACCTGAGCTGAAGTCAGATGCCTAACCAACTGAGCCACCCAGGCACCCCTTAACCTAACAGCACTTTGATTTTAGTTCCCCCTCAATTCAAAGGTACTAAATTATAAGTAAGCTACATTATATGAAATCAAAAGATCTTGTTTATATTTGAGATCATCTTAAAGTAGCACACTAAAGACAACTACTCTCATAAACTATAAGCTTTGTTTTGTACTACTGTTTTAAAAAAATCCTATGAGATTCTTATGAAAGACAAGAATGAGATTTTCTAGCAAGTTTTAAAATGATCTACAGCTGTGAGATAGCACTGTAATTTTCTACTTTTCTACTCAATGACATCTTCCTAATTGCTCTAAAATGGCCTTGGATTTTTAGACATTAAGATATTATTGATTTTTGTTTTCTTTTCTCTGACATGCACCTGAAAAACAGTCATTTAAAAATCTCAGGCAGCAACAGCAGACATCAGAAGGACGAAAGCTCCATTATTTGCAGCATACATCCAAATTGCTCTATAACCATTAAATTTATTATTCTTCTAGCTGTCCACAGCCCCCTGCCAGCAGGGGGTGGGGTGCTTGGACTAAAGGGGAGGGCAGGACTTGCCAGCTCCCACCCCAAGGAACCTAGCTCATCTCCCACATTAATCCATAAATGTCTCCCATACAGTCTGTACAATAAGCAGATGGAAACTCAGTTCAGCAGATGGAAACTTATTTATGGGCTAACATGTCTACATTACAACTGTGTCTTCGACTATACCGTGTAGAAAGTGTATTTGCAGAATAATTGCTATCTGTGTGTTGGTGCGTTTATATTGAGGATCTAATACCCAGTAGGCTAACAAGGCCTCAAACATGTTGAGGCCTTGCCTTGGGTAGGGAGGCAGTACTATATCCATGACTTTACTCACAGTAAGTCCCCTGCAAAGATAATTCTTAAAAGATTTGCATGACATTCAGCTCTGATTCTGCAGCCAGCAGAGCCAGTCATACCTGGAGTATCTGTGAAATAATGAGTTAGTTTCCCACTGTGAGCCCTCCTTTATAATTCCAATTTCAGCTGGAAAGTCTTTGAAGAGATGATTGAACCATATCGTCTCCATGAAAGCTGCAAAGATTTAACAACTGCGGAGAAATTAAAGAGAGAAACCCCGTGGAAAATTACAGATGCAGAACTGGAAGCAGTCAAGGAAAAGGTAAGGACTTGTCTTCCTTAATTTTTACTTTACTGTCTAACTAGCTGCAAAAGAAAACAACAGTTGATTTAATGATTAAGAAGTAACATTATCTGTTATAGAATTTCATTATTCAAGATCCAGGGTTTCTGCATTTTTTCAAGTGCTTTTCAATCATATTATGGGATATGAGGATTTAGAAACTAGTTTCCAGTTTTAATATGAAATGAATTCTTTTTAAAAAAGATTTTAAAAAACCAGATTATTGATATATATTATGAAGTCTTCTTTCAAATTTAATTTTATAGAACAGGAGACATACCCATCAGTCTAAAATAATTTAAGTCAATATGTGTGCAAAGTAGATCAAGGTAGTTGACTCACAATATAACACAAGTAACAAAGAAATTTTAACCTGATGAGGCTATGAAAACTAACAAAGGGATCTGAGAAAATACGCAATTGGAACAAGAATTGTGAAAGTTGGATTGGGCACATGTTGTAGGATGGATATAAAGTGGGGAGCTTTTCTGGAGAACCCAGAAGACGGAAGTTACCCCATGTGGCCTGAGCTGAATGAAGTTGTGATCATGAGGATGATGAAAAGGGCTGGGACAACAGAATTAAGTAGAAGAACTGACATTTGAATTGGATTAGATATTCAAGGAAAAGGGCCACAGACACCTCTAAACTACAGAATTTAAATAAACTACATTAGGAGCTGAATTTGAAACAAATTTGAATGAGAGATACTAAAGCCTTTCAAATTTAGTAGAAAAAATACTGACCTAAAATTTTTTCCCTGAATGTTTATTTACTTACTTTTGAGAAACAGAGAGAGACAGAGCATGAATGGGGGAGGGTCAGACAGAGAGGGAGACACAGAATCTGAAGCAGGCTTCAGGCTCTGAGCTGTCAGCACAGAGCCCCACGTGGGGCTCGAACTCACAAATTGCAAGATCATGACCTGAGCTGAAGGTGGATGCTCAGGTGGTTAACCAAGTGAGCCACCCAGGAGCCCCCTGAGCTGAAATTTATAAACTGTGTATAATAAACTGCCCAGATCTGACAAAGATTTTTCATATAATTGAGCAAATCATACATCTAAGCCTTAGTTTCTGAACCAATGAAATATAATAATAAATATTACTTTCATCAAAGCAAAATCATCAATGTAGTTATTTTTCCAAGTGAGTTTTGGTTGACTTTTTAGTTGGAACGAGTCCCCTGTGCTGATAAAATATTCAAAGAGCCTAAACAGTGTAGGTGAGGATATAATTTATGTTCTTAGGTATCAAGATTCAGTTAGTTTTCTTCTACCTCAAACCTGTTCCCAGATCTGGCCATTCTCATCTTCTTTTTACTATTACCCATGTCTTCTGCTTGCTTGCTTTTTCTCTTAGAATTTAATAAGCCACTATTGCACAATGACAACCTTGTCTTACTCTTTTTATTTCCAAAAATTCTCATGAGTTTTTAAAACGCCGTTAGTTTCCAAATATGGATGAAATAATTGTAATTTTTTAAAGTGAGGCTTTTCTACTTCTCCACTATTTGAGGGAAGAAGATAGATTATCATTCATAATTCTGGTAGAACTGCCCTCAACAAAACCTGAATGTTGTCCACAGAGTTACCGCCAAGTTCGCCTGAATGAACTCTTACAGGAACACTCAAGAGCTGCTAATCTCATTGTCCTGTAAGTATCACTGCAGATATTTAAGAATGTTACAGGGAAATCTTAGGTAAACGGGTTATTCAACTTAAAAAGTCCAAACTATTCAGGTGGAAAGTTTAAAAAAATTTGGAACATGTGGGATTTTAGACCGTGAAGGAAAATAAATGCCACCCTGAGACCCTGCCAACTGGAGCCCGTGGGCTTTAGAAGGCCCCACCTGGACTTTCCATCCGGTGTGCCCTACCCATGGGGCCAGGGCATGTGCCCACGTAGAACCCTGGCTTCCTCTTCAGACCATGCTCCAGGAACCTGACCCTGGAACTCCCTGCCTAGCAGGCCTTAAGTCAGCCTCTGAGGCTCATGGGCTCCTTCTCTGGGAGTGGTCCTGAGATATAGAGTCTATAGCATGTTCAGGAGGCTCTTTGCTCTGTTAGAAGAGGTCAGGGTGGGAGAAAAAGGCAGGGGACTTTCCCATTTCCACTCTTACCCTCCATCCCACAAATGTTAGAAGTGTACCTGTTGTAAATATGAATGTGGACTCAAGCAGTGATAGCTAAACATGAAAACCAACTATTTTACGTTTATACCTCATGGTCTGATTCCTGTGTGTGAAGATTAATATGTCTCAAGGTCTACACTGAAGAACTATCCACCTAAGACCTAGAACAGTCTCCCAATTTGGGTGAGAGGGTTCAAATAGCTGTTTTCTGAGATTTCTGCCAAATATGAGACTTAAACTACTGGGAATATCATTTCCATCCAAAAAGGAGAGGTATTGCTTGATCAAATTTTCTATTTAAAGAGGAGTGAAAATTTATAGTTATGCTTTGTTGCTACTCTACAGTGCCTAAGCCTATTTTTCTGGTTTATAGATATTTGTATCATCCAAGAAATATATCAGTTTAATATCTATATTCAAAATAACGTCTATGCTTTCATTTTGTGGGGGAGGGTTATAAAAGTTTCAGGCCACTGGTTATTAAATAGCTCAGATGACTAGTGATGTTACTGCCTGTAGTAATTGTCACTTTTAAAATTTTTCTTCCATTGCTGTCAGGAGCCTTCCAGTGGCGAGAAAAGGATCTATATCAGATTGGTTGTACATGGCTTGGTTGGAAATCCTCACGAAGAACCTCCCTCCTGTTTTACTAGTTAGAGGAAACCACAAAAATGTGCTGACATTTTACTCTTAATACATGAAGGATAAGAACACCTCTTAACTTAATGTGTAGATAATTAAGAAACATGTGTGGTACTTTATGTTATAAATCTGATAGATGGATATGCAAACCTCTGGAGACAATCGTACAGGATTCCACATAAATTATGTCATTTTTTTTTATTAGTTACTGGGGGCTATTTTTTTTCCTCTCTCAGCTTAAGAGGGTGTCCAACTCAATGCTACCCCTAGAAAAACAATTTCTTGTTGCTGTTGATAAATAAGAAAATCAAGGAAACCATGCTGGCTTATGCTCATGAAAACCACCAACTTGATTGTAAGCTTCTCTAGGCAAACTTAATCTTTTGTTTGCTTCTCAGCTCCAGTAGAGGCCTCAGCCCCATAGCAGGTTTTCATTAAATGCTTATTGACAGGCTGGTATAGTAACCATGGGTGGTTATCAAAGGAAAAGACCGGCTGGGCAGGAACTGTGATTATGCTTGGCCTTCTGAGAGGCTTATACCTACAAAGAAGATTTGAAAATCAATAACTGAAAACTTTAAGAAGTACTTGAGTCTACAGAATGTTTAAAGCAGTTACCTAAATAAGGTTATTTAATGTAACATAGCTTATATACTTAGAGTGATCTGAGCGATCATTGATAACATAGGGCTTCAATTTGCTGCTGACTGAAGAGTATGTTAGCTGGATTAGAAGGCAACAATATTCCAATTAAATAGACTAGATTCCATTTTAATAGATAAACTTCAATTGTTTCACCTGCTAAATATTTTGAAATCTCCATCATAGTACATTGCATATTTTTTCTAATTAAGTGGTTAACACAGATGAAATCTTCATAGATGTCTAACTGAAAACCAAATACCACAAATTTTCAAACCATTATAAACAAATATATCCTGAATCATATACTTAGTTACTCTATATAGTGATTGTGTGGATTGAAAAGAATAATTAAAATGTAAAATGGAGAAACTTACAAAATTACAAAATTGTATGTTGTGTATAACATGCAAGTATTGATTTTTTTCATTTTTGTTAGTATTCTTATTATACTTAATCACATTGAAAACCCTATAATTTTTTTTTTCTGATGGATGACTTAATTTTTTTTCCTAACATGTTTCAACTGTTTATTCTAACTGCTAAAATACAAGGAAAACAATGAACCTGAAATAAAAGCACTGAAATTTGTTTGCTTTGGCCTAGCTCATGTTTTTACTTTTCAGTCACTAAGATCGCGGTACAATGGCATATCAAATGTGAGCATTAAACATTCAATCAGTTGTGGGGCTCCTGGGTAGCTCAATCAGTTAGCGTCTGACTCTTGATCTTGGCACACAGGTCATGATATCATGGGTGTGTGAATTTAAGCCCACTTCAGACTTTGCACTGACAGCACAGAACCTGCTTGGGATTCTGTCTCTCCCTCTCTGTCCCTCCCCAGCTCACACTGTCTCTCTCTCTCTCTTTCTCAAAATAAACTTAAAAAATTTTTTTCAATCAGTTGCCTTGTCTGAAGCTTGTTTGAAACTGGGAATCAAGATTAGGAATTCCAAGCCCAGACTCAGCTCAGGAGGATGACTAGGGAGGAAAAGGGAAAAACAGTCAGCAAAATTTAAGCAGCAGGCTAGCCGCACTCCAAATCCAGGACTGTTTGCCTAACTCAGCCCCGTATTAAGCCATCTCTCTTGAGCCCTACAGAACTGAAATCCAAAGACTGTATGAGATGTGGTCCCTGTGACCAGGGGAAGGAGCATTCAGCTTCTTTTGGACCTGACAATTCTCAGAAACACTCTGGGAAAAGTGAGAAGTAATAGGACTTCTGTAACAGGAAAGTCTGGCTCCTATATCCTTGAGAGGCTGTTGCACACTGGGTTCCCTGGGAAACAGACTCTGAAAGAGCATTTAGCATGCAGTGTGTTTATTAAGGAGTATTCTTGGGATCAACAACTGTGGAAGGAAAGGTGAGCTGTGATGCAGGCCCGAGGACAGCCTCAGCCAATGTCACAGGGAGCTCTGGAGACAGAAAGTTCCTTCTGAGTAGTCCCAAGCAGGGCTGAGAGGGCTGGGCCTTTATATTTATGCATTGATTCATCACTGGATGTGTGCTGCCCACGAAGGGGTGTGACCTTGGATGAGGCAGTTCTCTGCAGCCAAGGGATCCCTGAGGGGCCTGGGAGCTGAAGTCTGACTGCTAACTGCATTCCTGGTGGCTGGGGCAATAAGTCCTTCATTAACCAGGGTCTGGTATGACATCACCGTTCCCATCGTGGGGGTCCTATAAAATGGTGGTCTTAAAACAAACAAAACTTGGACTGGCCTAAGTTCAAATTTTCATCTCACCATTTATAGTAGTTTGACCTTAAACTAGTTATTTAATTTTCTGAGGGCTCCCGGCAAGATAGTGACTGAAGCGACATCCCTGGATTCCAGGTTAACAAAAGAAGGATACATGGACTGAGAGAAAAGGGTCAGGTGGCAGAAGGGACTGTGGCTTTGAGGTCCAGAGTAGGTTAGGTTAGGGCAGCAGAAAATGGAATGGTTGGAGGCAGTGGTCAGACACCAGCAGATTTTTGTAGCCCTTAATGCCCTGTACTTGTCCCATGCTTCACCCAACTCAATTAAGCCAACCATTCATCTTCCTGTCTACACTCAACTTTCTGAGTAGGAAGGAGACAGTTGCACAATCACCTGCATTGGTGTCTAACTCTCAGTCCTCTCATTTTGTCTATGTGTCTCCACAGTATCCCCACTTCTTCCTCATCATGGCTTCTCAAAATCTTCATCACTTTTTCAGTGGATGACCCTGCCACCATCCCTACAACATAACTATGTGCAATAGACATAAACCTTTCGTACCTAAATAGGACCATTCTGGGAGCATTGTCTTACAAGTTCTTCTCTTAATACTCAATTCTAGAAATCTTTATTTGGAAGCTTCAAAAAAAAAAATAGATTGTAGATTCTTGGAGACTACTCTAGGCCTGCTAAATTAGAATCTGGGAGAGGGACTGATGATCTGTAATATTTTGGAACCTGCTCCAGGCAGTTTCTCCTATTCCTGTGACGTGACTGCCACCATAGGCTGATGTCTCCCAAATTTGTATTTCTCACCCACATCTCCCTGAAGTCTCAGATCCAAACATTCAATCACTAATTTTCATAGTGTTTCTCTTTGTAAGTCCTACAGATACCTTAAATGCAGGAAGACCAGACTTCTGTTCAAAAAAGAAAAACAAAAAAACAAAAAACACCCCAAGCACAGCTGGAGCAAAGACTTTCTTTCTCTACTGAGTATCCTATCTCCCCTGAAATGACCAAAGAAATGAAAATAGGAAAGATCTGCATCACAGTAGGAAACTAAGGAAGTATATCATCAACATGGTAACTTTTTAAAAAGCAATTGAGCTAGGGGGTGCCTGGTTGGCTCAGTAGGTGGAGGGTCCAACTCTTGATTTCAGCTCAGGTCATGATCTCATGGTTCGTGGGATCAAGCCCCATAACAAGCTCTGCAGTGACAGCTCCCAGCCTTCTTGGGATTCTCTCCCTCTTTCTCTGCCCTTCCTCTTCACACACTCTCTCTCTCTCTCAAAATAAGTAAAAACTTTAAAAAAACCAATCAAGCTATAGTTTACTTGGGACAAGATTCAGCAAAGGTCAGCTTGCAACCAATACTCCAGAAGGAAAAAAATCACAGGAGACTCTGAAAGACTTCCACTAACCTGTCCACAATTTGCATCTGGAGATGAGAAAGTGGAGGTAGGCCAGAGTACAGCACTGAGTGGGATCCGTTTTGCTGGATACAAAGAGTATTCAGAAAAGACCACCCAGTGAGGCCACCCCAGCACTGGAAGCAGACATAGGTAGAGTGGAGCATCTCACAAATGCCCTGGAAAGGTACCAGAAAGTTAAGTGCTTTCCACAGAGGCTGAGCCCAGGAGAAAATCAGCTTTTAGTGCATGTCTCCTAATATAAGGAAGAAAGTTCACAGGGATGGGCGATTCTGGCCCTGGGTCTCACTGTTCTCAGGCTGCTGAGTTACTACACTGGCCCTGCAAGATGATATCAAGCAGACCCCTAGTTAAGATTAAATAGGAAGATTGTCACACTGACCAAGAGGTGTGGTGGAGGTCCCTGTGTCAACAAGTCCTGTCATATCTGCTTGTCATCATTGTGGTTTAAAAGAATGAGCGCCCAGAGCACCTGGGTGGCTCAGTCCCTAAAGGATGACTTCAGCTCAGGTCATCTTGCAATTTGTGGGTTCCAGCCCTGCATGGGGCTGTCTGCTATCATGGCGGAGCCTGCTTGAGATCCTCTGTCCCCCTCTCTCTCTGCCCTTCCCTTGCTCATGCTTTCTTTCAAAAATACATGAACTTAAAAAAAGAAAAAGATTCAGTGCCCCATGGGGCCCTGGCTGACTGGATATTGCCCCCCAGGTCACTAGATATTTCTAATCCTTCCCTCTGCAGAGATTAGGGACACACCAACCTGAGGGTGAGATCTGTCTGAACTCCACAAGGGAGAAGAGAAATTTCTTTTGGGGTGTGAGTCACTTTAGTGCTACTGCATCCCAGCTGTTGACAGCTCACAACACCCCCATCAATTAGTTGCAGTAATGGCCAAGAAGTCAGACCTTGCTCCAGCCCCAGCAGGTGGCCCACGTACCCTTGCGGAGCCACCAGCTCTCCTGCACCATCAGCCCTGTTCCACTGGTGGAACCCCCTCTCCTCGGCAAGGCATGTCCAGTCTTATGCACCTCTTTGAGGATTTCTGATGTTGAAACAATGATGTCAGCCTTCCTTTTTTGTGCAGAGAAAGTGTTTTCAAAAACACTTGTTTTCAAAAAATTGAGGAAGAAAAGTAGGGAAGTAAAATCAAAAACTCAGTTTCTGCAGTCACAGAGAAGAGTTGAGTCTCAGTTGCCTTACTGAGTAGTGGAGGGATCACTACCTTGCCTCCTGAAGAATCCATTTTCTCCTACATAACTTGAGGATTCATAATCTACCCTTG